TATAAGTATTTAAATCAGCAATATACAGAAGCATTCAAAAAGAACCCTAAATTTATTACTGGTGTGATTTCAGGGATGACTTTAACTCTGGTTTCCAGTAAGGAATGGTGGAAATACATTTTTCAATAATACACGATTTTCAAACGTTATTGTTCTACATGTCCTTGTAGACATTTGAAAGGTTACAAGATTTTAATAATTTAATTTTAAAGAGAACAATTTTATATCGGAATGTATTTTGAAATATTTGGAACTAGCTCCATTTATCTTCTGATTTTATAGGTACTATCCAGCTGTGTTATGTAGGGCTTAAATGGCTTCAAGTGCTTAATAAAAATTGAGCCATTTCAAAGGAAAAGTAGATCTTACAAATGTGTCATGTACCTAACCTTAAGCCTCTAAATGTTTCACATTCTGAATTGTTTGCTTCTAAAAACCTAAAAGAGAACATAATACCATCAAGACTTGAATCTAAAAGACATAAACCATAAAATTAGGCTAGTGGGAAAAAGAAATGTTGTTGATAGTGCTCATTGATATAAGACAGTAAGGATCACAAAGGGCATAAAACTGGCTTTCAGCCATCAAATCAGTAAGATTTATTTCAAGAATTGAAATAAAAAGTGAAAAGTGAAATAGTGACAGATATTGAAAAGCAAAATGTACACGAGTAATCTCCAACAGTCGTGAATAACTGAATTTGTCTGTAGGCTGCAAAAACCAGCACAAGCTTGTACTGAAGTTTCATTATCTGAATGAATTTGGGAAAGTCCCTGAGCTAAAAGGTTTGGTCTCTTTCTCAGAGTGTTAGAAGGAATTCAGAAGAAACTTACTGTAATTGCCATGTGGAAACATGGGCAGCAAGAAATCATTCCCAAGAGCACTATATACCAGGCTCTTTGGACAACATATCCATTTCACTCTGGGGTTTTCTGAACATGATCTCTCATCTCTTTCATCAATGTGAGCATGATGACTGGTGTATATAACCAACATGCCCAAACTCAGTGAAAGTCCACTGTTTGCATGTCTCCACATTTGCCACAGACCAAGAAGTTCTGATGAAGAGTTAACCTGTCTTAGGGAAATAGATGGCAGAAAGGACTAGGAAGAAAATTTAAAAGGACAGAAGGATCAAATAAAACATGCCACAGTGCTGACAGGTGATAGGAGGGAAGAGATATTGAGATTGGTGCAACTGAAAAAAATAAAATAGAAAAAAATAGAATTAGCAGAACCTAGTACTTAGGCAGAGGAGTGCACTCTTCTTGTTTTCTTTATTTTCCTAGAATTTCATTACTCTGTTGCTATCTCTTGATTTTAGCTTCTGTCTCCTTTTCCTTTCATATTTATGCTTTCTCCTGTGCATAACTCCCTTTTTTCAGTCTCCGTTTACTTAACTGCCTTCCAAACATCCATGGTTCCACCTCTTCTCACCTTCTCCTTGTTCAGAAGAGATAAAATATCTTTTCTAAAGGAAATTGCAGACATTAAATGTCAATAAAGACATTTAGTTAGATTCATAGATTTGTGTTTAATAGTTACCCTTAAAAGCCTTTGAGCTGAAAACTTGGACAGTTTCATAAAGAATCAGTCTTTTGAATATAGAGAAATCAAAGCAGTGTCTGGCAGTATGTTCGACACAAAAAGATTTAAAAGGAAGGGAATGACATATTGTGATGGCAATATATTATTTATTTGAAGATTGTAGTCATAATATATTAATGAAAACAAGAATGACAGTTCTTAACAGTGATTACCATCCCCCCGGTTAGCAACGTGTTCAGGCGCTGTCCAACAGCACCATGGACAGTGACAAACCAGTTCCTGTGCCAAAGTTCAGCTGTGGCCACAGTTCATCACTTCAAGCTCTTGACAGGAGCCTGGATGACTCAAGACATGCTGAGCCTTTCACTTCCATCATGGCCTATCCTCCAGCATTTAATATATGAAACTTTTGATTTGCACCGCAAGAATACTTAAAATTTATTCTTGAATCAGGTTTACCTTCTGCTTGTAAAAATGCAGTATTTTTCTGCCTTCTGACACTAACTCTTGAAGTCCTCTCTTAAATCTGTCTAGTTATCTTCAGCTCACATTAATATCCTATCCCATGGTGAACTTCAGATTTCACTAGAAAAATGTTCTGCAACGAAAACTACTTCATTTTGCAGAAATCTCAGCTTTCCTAACAGTTTTCAATCATGTAAAAGAGGTTTCTTAAAACATCATCCTTTCAGACCTCGACCAGTAAGTCAATGGTGAAACAAGACTTCAGAACATATTTTAAAAGAAATTTTAAGAGATGGAAGAAAATTAAATTTGATTTAAAATTAAATCTGTTTTAAAACCACAGAAAGATATTTTGTGGAATGCTTAAAAGGACATCAAAATGACATTCCAATCACATATCCAAACTGCCATTCTATCTGTGCTGGTTTTTTTGGAGGCAAATGCAAAAGACCCTCTCCAATGCATTGACTCTGATACTCAGTCAGACTACTAGACAGTTCTAAAGCTGCCAGTTCAGAATCTCATATTATAAAATAAAGCCACCTGAGTTTCATTCCATCAGTTCAACCTACATCATAAAAAAAATGTTCAAGGTTCTTCTACCTTACCCTAGAAGAATGTTCAGTGAAGACTTATATTACTGTTTATAAATTGAGTTAATATAAATACAAAAACTCATCACAGTGAAAATAATATTCTTATATTTAGCTCTTTGGGAATAAAAGCAACACTGACATACACAATATTGCTATGTTCTCCAAAAGACTTGTGATTTTAAAATCACTGTGTCATCCCACAAAACAGGCAAATGTTTTCTGTAACTCTTTTTTAATCTCGCATTTCAGCATACAGGATAAGTCACTGAAGTGCTTTCCCCACATTACTTTGCCTGTATACTGCTGTTCATTCAAAGATTAAGTACAAGTGGAACATCAAGAGGAGCAATCAAGAGTTGATTTTGTATGCTTGCAGCTAGCTTGAAAACAAAAAGCCTTTAAACAATCACCAGTGATTTTCCTGCAGTTTGACTTACACAGCCTGTGAATGCAAATCAGTAAAGTGTATCTTCAATGCTGCATATTTTACTCTAAAATTTGAGGCCTGTCACGTTTAATTGTCTATAGATTTTTAGACCATTACTCCACACCTACAGAATTTATAATTGTTGTATCTGTGCTTTGAATTTTTAGTGTTTACTTGTCAAATTAAAGCTTTAGATTTACCTGCAGTTCTATTTGTTAAGGATATGACCATAATCTTAGATATAACCACCTAAATCTGGATTAAAAAACCAGAAGCCAATACACTTGTGCTGGTTAGAAACAGAGTGAATTCAGCATGAATTCAAGTTTATCCTCTTCCAGGGGAAAAGGGCATCCTTAATGCCTATGAGTTTTCAGTAACATTAAGCCATCATTTAAAAAGCTCTTTTCCATATCAATTTGAAAAGACTTAGTTTTAAAGCTTAGTTTTAGAGCTTAGTTTTCTAACATAGATTGAGAACAAGTGGAAAAAAACCAACCAAAACAGATAATCAGACAGTCTTCTGATTTAATTGACCCAAACAAATTCCTGCCCCGTACACTATTTTTCATGTTTTAAGTTGTTTTCTGAGAGGTATTTGTTTGTTTGTTTGACAAAAGGATCAACATCCTTATGTAAAGAAGCACTTCTGTATCAGATCTGGTTTTTGCTTTTTTTACTGCACCAGATCAGACCCTTACAAATTCTTTCTCACAGAATCAAAACACACTGACACATATTACTTCTGAAAACAGACTTCTGAGGATGTACTCCAAATCCCCAGATGCTTAAGTGTTCCTGTACCACGTCTGAAAGCCTTAAAGCTGCACTTACATTGCTCCCATTGGCATCTAGAAACATGAAATTCTATTTTGTGATATTTCATGGTAACAAAGGTTCATATCCATAACACTTTTCTACTTTACCTATGGCATCCCTCTCTGGGACACTGTATCCCTATTTCAAATGTACTGATGACTTTTTCTCAGGGAAATTCTGCAGAAAAAAGAGGAGTTTGCACTTTTGAGACTTGAGTGCATGGGAGACAAACTGGTCACATGCAACAGCTGCAGCAAAGTTTTATTTTAAAATAGGCCAGACGGGCTTAGAAAAGAAATGTGCAAAAAAAAAAGTGTTTGCTGAGGTGTTAGGGCAGCAGTAAAATCACTATATATAGCTTGCACAGCCTGTGAATGAACACTCTTGCAAAAAACCCACTCCCTAAAATTAAAAAAAAAAAAAGAAAAAAGAAAAAGAAATATTCACAGAAAATATCTGAGGATTGCTTTTATCTTTTCTCAGAGAACTGTGTCTCCTTATTTGCTATTGATCTTTTTATGAAACCTTGCATTTTTGGTTTACCGTAATTGAGAAAGTGAGTGAATCATGCTCTGAGACCGTAAAGTTTCATATACTGTGAGTGGAAAATAATTAACTAATTAAAAACGGTTCATGTAATACCTCATGAGTCACAGCTTGTGCGTAATATGATGCCAAGTCATCATGTGCAGTGTTTAGCTCTTGAACTCCATTTGTCTCCATTTGTAAAAAAAGTGAGCCTTATGCCAGATTCCCAAATCATTCAGAAATTTGAGAGCCCAACCTTGTTTTTCTCCCCCATATCCATTGCACAACGTTGCCCATTCTTGGTGTTATCCTCCCCAGTTTGCTAAATTACGTTAAATAACATTCCTGTGGTAAAAACAACACTGGAAGTTCTTTAAATAATTCTTTACCAGCCCAGAGGACAGCAAGTTTCTTAACAATGGATAGCAAGTTTCTTAACAAGTTTCTTAACAATGGAGGATAGCAAGTTTCTTTCCATGGTAAGTATCATGTTTTACTCACGGACTCCAAAAGGCTGCAATTCCAAAGTGGAAAGAAATGTGACAAACCCCGTACTTATTGGCAATTTTGGTACATGTCTTTCAAAGCTATCATAATGTCAGACAAAAATGTCTCACCAAATTTTTTTTCATCACGAGATGCTTCATTTCCAAATGAAGAGCTGTTCTGTCTTTCCTGAAAGCCAGATATGTACAATATACAAGTTTAGTCATAGACTGAGCTGAACAGGTTACATTTTTGTAAGCTTCGTGTTAAAACATTAACAAGCTATCATTATGTATATTATCTGAGGTGTAATTATCTTTTTTGACCTTTTCAGTGTATTCCTGTTTTATCTTTTAATACAGAACAATTACTGTTAATTAATGGTTGCTGATGAAACAGACAAGCCATGTTAGATTGCAAGTATCAATGAAAGGAGCCTTGTTGCTTTAAGCACAGATCCAGATGAGTCATTAAAAAGTTCTAATGAATAAGAAGGCAATAAGCAGGAATTTTGATACAGAATGGTATAGTACTCAGGAAGCTACAGTACTAATAATCCATGTTATCCTTAAATTCACTGACTGCATGAATCATTTTACTCAGAAACAGCGAGGGAAAAATTGCACTTCACTTTTGTGAAATGGCTCTATGGCAACTGAGCAGAGAAGTATTTGTGTTAATTCTTCTACTGAATTTACTATTGAGTAGCACAAGAGTTATTTCATCATCCTTTCAATGTTCTTAATCTCATTAGAATTGCCTAAGAAGCTGCATCATGGAACAGTTTTAAAGTGAATTTGTTCTCCCTATACAGAACATATGTGAGTGAGATAGGTTATTTTATTATTTGTAAAAGAAAGCCAGTAATTTGGAGGTAAAACCAGCAGTATTCTCTCTGCTTAAGCATCTCAGAAAAACAGCAATACAATTCTCACTGTGAATTCTGTATACACTCTGCTATTTTGAGATTCGAAGAGTTGCAGTACATTTTTTTTTGTGACAGCTTAGTTCACAGCATTATATTTTGCCACAGAAATTTAGGAACTGAGCCAAAATGGAGGCAGTGGAAACATTCCCATTGACGTCAGTGAGCCTTGGATAAGGCCCCAGACGGCTAAGGACTAGGATTGTCAACTTACAATTAATGTAATTAATGCATCTACACTGGCCCTAGAGCAGTCCAGGCATAAAATTCGTCTTTTGCTGTTAGAATTTAGCATCTTTTACTAGGAACTTTGAGAAAACACACATTAAAAAGGGAAGAAAAAAAAGCAGGGGGGTGGAGGGGGGTGGGCAGGAGAAGAGAAAGGAGGAAAACATCTACAGGTTTTTGAGGATAAACAAGAAGCTTATACTCAAGCCTCTGTATAAGCTGTTAATCGTTGACCTCTAATATAACAGAACAATAATATTCAGCAATGCAATGCCAGTAGACACAAAGGTAGTTTCCATTCACAGTTCAAGGCTATTGCGTTTATGGGTCTGAAACCTTTCTCATTGAAACTAAGGTGTCTGAAAAGAAAGGAGGAGTGTGAATCTAGAGACGGAATTACAGTGTTAACAGTAAAATAAACATTTCAGTTGGTAAGAGAGTTGTTTCTGATATTTTAGTATTTTAATATGCTTAATACAAGTATTTTTGAGGGGTTGAAAAAGTTAACTAATGCAGTGTGTCTTATAGAGGATCACTAGCTAATATTGCAGGCAACAGCTTTAGTAAAACAAACAAGGTGAACAGACAAAACATATTATACTATTTCCTTATTGCTTTTATATTCTAAGCCTTTTTGTTTTTACATAATAACATGTTTGGGCTCTCTACTTCATAATTTGAGCTTCCATTTATTTATTTTTGTAGTGTTTTATGTCACTTATGTTTAATTCTGCAAAAAAATACACTTATTTTTCAGTTAATTAGATATCATATCTTTGTGGGAAAGACACATTGTTTCAATGGGTTGCAACTCATAAGTACCTAGTACTCATACTGAGATCAATCACAGTTACATGTCACAATAATGTTATGTATGATTAATGCTGAATGATTAGTTCATAGGTTCATTTCAAGGAAATGTTCCAAATATTAATGATAGGGTCTCATATTCTTGTACTTCCTCAGACACTTATGAAATTTAAAAGTCCCAACTCATTAGTAAATATCAAAGCCCTAGTAGGGAGGTTCATGTGATGAAATCATTTAATCAGATGTTCACATAAACAAGCTAATGAACATCTGAGCCATTTTTATGACTGTAACACAATATTTAGTTTGAAAGAATAAATGTCTTCTATACATTAATTACTCATTTCATATAGAAGGTAGTTTTATTTTACTGTGTTGTACAGAAATCATACTGGTAGTAATACCCATTTCAAAGAAATTTTTGGTTTTGTAAAGTCTTTACTTACCCTGTGGAGAGTAGCAACACTTTCAGGAAATGTTTTAGGCTCCTGAAGAATCTGAGAAACATCTGCTTCAATGAAAATATTTTCCTTCTGAAATGCTGAACATTTAGCACTTACTCATAGGCATTTCATAGCTGTAAGAGAGAGTGGATGATAAAAATCAGTCAGAACTTGGGAAAAATAGTTTGACTTATTGTTCTCGACTACAGAAAATTACAGTGCAAATGTAGGGGAAAAAGTGCATGTTGCAAAATGGGATAATGTTAGAATTAGGGTATTTAGGAGTACATCACTGTATACGCATTTCAGTAGTACAGGATATTATGTATGTCACTAAATTAATCACAATGTCTTTGACAACATAATGGAGGAAATAGAGTCACTTTCGTCATTTCATCTATGGATGAATCAGCCAACTAGCTTCCAATGCCACAAGCAAAACCAGTTGGAATTAATAACTTTTCTAAGAAAAGTAATTTCCTGAATTTGGGTATAGTTTCAGCAAATTCAAAGTTAAGAAAAAAAAAGAGGAAGGGAAAGGAAAAAAAATAAGCCAAGTAGGTAGGTGAGTTTAAAATAGTATTTTTTTTTTCATTTGACATTTTCAAAAGAAAATATTTCAGCTTAAGTATGTTTTTTAGTTCTAAAATGTTTTTAACTTTTGAAGTATATTATAAATTATCCAAATAAATGCAAATATTTCCACTCTATCTGAAAAATCTTTTCTTTGTTCACCATGCAATATTTCTGGACCAGCCACTGAACCAAAACACCTACTATTTGAAAAGATCTTCCCTTCAGTTCCTCTAGGGACTATCAGCTGGCAGTGGTATGATCATGTCCCCACTATCTGAACTAGGCTGAAACACCAAGGTAGGGACTGGTGGGATACAGCCACATATAAAATAAGGAATTGTCTGTCTGGTAAGGAAAATATCTGGATGCTTCTCTGAAGTGTTTCTAATAGCACAAGTGAAGACAGAGAGTGTGTTCACTTTGTTGTGTTCATCCTTCTCATTGTCTCTCAGTTTTGTCTCCCTAGAGACCTGGAATCTGACTTTGCAATGTGAAAGGCACAATATCTTTCAAATATGATGGAAAAAATTAAAAAAAACCAACACGAAAATATCAAAAACAACAAAACACACACAGAAACAAAAATACCCAAACCAAAGAATTTCTAGAAGCATGGTTATCAAGGACCAAGTATGCTCTATTACTGTCTGATATTCAGCTGAAAAACAAAAGGCTGCTGAAAAACCTCTATATGTGAGTTCATAAAGCTTGAATATAGGGACATGTTTAGAGGAAAAGCTGGAAGCCCTTAGAAAAGCTGTAATTCATGTAGAAAAGAGCAGAGCAGTTTTAAATACCTGTTTCTAAGGGACACAAATAACTAATTTTCCAAGATGATGACTGCGCTGACACTTTAGAGCAATTTAGAAAATTACTGCCTATTTAATTATTTTGAAAGTTTTTTCTCTTTTTTCTTTTTTTTCTTTTTCTTTTTTTTTTTTTTTGTAATGTTGAATTCATCCTATTAAATATTATTTATGTATATAACAAATGAATAAATGACTCACTAAAGAAAATGAGTGGCTCACCACTTCCAGGGGGAAATATAATAGAGTGAAGATTGTGTTGAAGAAAATGCATTAATACATAAACAATGCGATATTAAGCTCCTTACAAAAAGGGGAAACAAGAGAGAAAACTTCTGCAGCTGGAAAATGGGAATACCAACAGTTCTCTTCTGGAATCAGCCAGGAAAGATAAGGGATCTCCTCTCACATACAAGAATTAGGAAACCTGAAAAACATATCCCCAAGCAGACATTGAACCATAGTATTTCTCAGCAATAATATGTATTCAATAATCTGGGACAGGATTTGTAAAGGTCCTGTTTCCCACCTGAACAATGAATTTGGTGAAGAGAAACATGTTCCATCAAATGTCTTGTTTTGGGCTACTAGCCACTGACTCAACCCTTGGTCATATGAGTGAAGTACTTAGATATCTTGGAAATATTCTATGTTCCACAGCCAGAGTGCAAATTCAGTAAAAGAAGAGTAATTAACAAGCTTTTACAAACATGGGTCATGTAAATTTATTGAGAATCTTTGTCTTGCTTTCATAACTTTTTTTCAAATAGAATTTTAACTTCCAACATTAAAAACAAGAAAATAAAATGGGTCCTCCTAAACTTCTCAAAACCAAAAAATCAGGTTATTTATAGGTATCTTAACATATAGAATAGGCATTTTACTGATTACTTTAAATGTCTTGAGTATATTTTTTTGCTGGAGACATGACTGACTGCAGCATCTGATTGTACTGGTTTTCAGAGTGAAACTGCTGTTAAGCAGCTCTAAATTCCCTTAAAAAAGGGACACAGAAAAGATTTCCATAAAGCTACTTTAATTCCATTCACTCTCATTTCTAGACATTTCCCATCCATCTATCTGACAGTCTCCTTGCATTCTGTTACCATTCTTAACAGGTGAAATCATTATAAATCCTGGATGTTTAAACTGATCTGAACCCTGTTGTTAAGGTCAGCTGACAACAGAGGAAATCAATAAAAAACAAATAAAGAAGACATGGATTTTGTCTAATTTGCTTATGTTTCCACAGTATGTGATAGCATGTTCTTGAAAATGCAAAACTCAAACACTGTTATAAGTCGACTCTTGCAAATGATTTCTTTTTTCTGGTGTAAAAAAAAAATAAATATATATATACTTAAAAATATCTGGCTCAATAGTAACTATATTAAAAAAAAAAACCCCTAAAAAAAAAATAAAAATATATATATATACTTAAAAATATCTGGCTCCATAGTAACTATATAAAAAAAAAACAAACAAAAAAACCTAAGGATAGATCTTAAGGAGATTAGGCAGCAGAAAACATATATATTTTCCTGAAAAAGAAGTTACTATATTATATTTGATATTTTCATGCTCAGTGAAAGAGTGATTGCAGTCACTTCTTCAGAATTAAATTAACTGAGCTCTGTGAACTGACTGCTACAGATGAGAGAATTTGACAACTACAAATACATGAAATGGGAGTAGTCATTAAGACATAAGGATGTGAGTCCAGCACTCCAGGAGAAGAAACAATAGGAATACATCACACCTCAGTCAATGACTTAGAACCTGTTTTGTAATATTGTGCTTTAGTTTCTTTAGCAAAGGGCACTAAAGCCTTGAGAGGCAATAAATTCTTATTCACTTAGTAATTATGTGGGATTTTGCAGATTTTTTTAATATTATTATTATTTTTCATGCATGAAGTGGGGAAACCCGCTTATATTGTCAAACTTTTGACACCTTTAGAGACTCCACTTTGTTCCCTACTAAACCTCGAATGCTTGAACTGGGTTTGTTGCCTTTTCTCCTTTGCTCTCCTGCATGACACTATGATATCACTGACCAAAAATTTGGACCCATCTGCAAAAGGACATTTAATAAAATTAAACTGAACTAATTGAAGGTGTGAACTGAGCTGCATCATCCAATTATTACACTGCTGTTTATTTCACACAAAGGTTTACTTGACTAAAATAACTCAAGACCATGCTTCTGACAAGGAATGTCCATTCAGATGTAATAGACTGCAGTCTAACCTCACACCTTCAGCTAATTCTTCCTAATTTCCCCTGTGTCTCTGTTTGGAAAAATATCCTGGAGGCACACTAATCCTTGAATCAGCTACACAATCTTTGTAATACAAAATTGGCTACATGCCTGGAACTTCTGGTCTCTGATTTTCTCTTTCATGCAGCATTTTTTCTTCTGATATTCCAGACAAGTAAAGTCCAGATGTTTTCTGCTGTTTAAGAAAGCAAACACAGGACACCCTTAGGCATTCAGTCCTTTACTTACAAAAGTCCCATTAAATTTGGGCTATTTCATTTGACAATCTTAGATACTGTTTGTCTTTTGAATTGCTTTTCAAATATTAAATATTGCTTAATACTTTAGGGCTTGCATATCTTTAAATAGAATAGGACACCTAATTACCATCTCCTCCATCACTGATTTGTATTTCTAGAGCATACAGGGCTTGAAACAGTTAAACTGCTCACGCAGCTAGTCAAACTGACTATTTGTTCTAAAAATAGTAGGTACAGATCTCTATTACACCAAATACTGGGTCCATGTAATTCTTTTTCAAAAAGTTACTACTCCCTATAATAATTTATCAATTACACATTTTAAAACAAGAAACTCTTAGAAAAAAAAATGATAAAACCTGACTTTAATACTTGTACAGCACTATATTCACTTCTTAATTCTCCTTCCCAGCCATCTTCATATATCTGTGGTGGCATCGAAATTTCTTGAGACATTTCTTGAATAAATAATTTTATCTATCACTCCTAGTTATTTATAATCCAGCCCTATATTTCTCAGTAAAACCAGTAGCTTTTTTGATCCTACAGGGCATATTTATTAAACAGGAAGAAAGAAATTCCACTACCAAGTATGCCAATGCCACCATTTCATGCATCCTTTCTCTGCACAGTCTTTCTCCTTGCCCATCTATGTATTAGCAAACAACACTGAGGGAAACTAGTTTATTACCAAGATTTTTTTACCTGTCTCTAATGTAATTTTGTTTCACACTTAATTGCATTTGAACTACATCTTAATAATTTTTATACATTATATCACAGTGCAGTAAGGGAGTAATACAGGGGATTTCTGGATTAGGACAATAATCAGGAAGATGTATACACTGGTAATATTGCCTGTGATCCAGAGAGCTGGGCAAGACATGGTTCCCAAGACAGTGGGGAGCAATAGGCCCTTCCCTTCCCTTCCCTTCCCTCTTCCCTTTTAACATTTTCCCTCCCTTATATTTTGCCTTCACAAATTTACTTGATGCTTCAAAACTGAAAGCACATCTCATTCTCTAAGAGCACACGTATGTCTTCTTTGACTGCAATTATTTCCGTTTGAGTAAAATTTTCTGACTCCCTAATTTTTCCACAGAGGTTTTCCCCCTTCAGGGTAACCACTGGAACTGCAAGCTTCTATCTGCAACTCCCTAGGAAAAGAGTAGCATGAAATAAATACTAATAAAATCCCCAATATTAAAAAAAAACCAACCCTCTAAGATTTCT